GATTTTTATGAAAAGTTGTGACTTTTATGAAAGGTGGTGACCTTTCCGAAAGATTGTGACTTTTCAAAGGTTTGTGACCTTTCCGGTAAGGCACAATAAGAACCTTTTCACACTATCCTCTGTTTTCTATAAATTGAGGGATTTCCTCTCATTTTAAAAGAATCAAATTCTGGACTTCTTCTTCTTCTACTAAATCTAGTATTCTAAGTGTACTTTACTGCCGTTGAGTGGCTCGCTGACACCAGCGTTTTGGGTATCAATACACTGGTGATTGAGATCATTCTATCCTGGGAGGACATATTCCAAATCAAACCTCGGATACTAGAGGGGAATAATTTCCTTAAGGGGACACTGTGCATTCAGTGGGCTTGATCTTCTTTCTGTTTTTCCAAATTCTGGTATGTGTTACAGATTTTAGATTTGTCAATTAATTTATGTTCTTCATTGGTTCAGTAAACTTTGGTAACTTCGTGTTTCTGCAAAGTTTATTGGAATCAGTAAGATTCTTTAAACACAGATTGACAACAATTCTTCTTTAAGAAAAAATATTTCGTATATTTTTTCTAATCTGTTTCTGATTCTAGTTTCTCTACTAGTTTTAATTTTCTAGTTGTGAAAATGTTCTTAAACTTTATTGTGTCTTACCAAGTTCTTCAAAGTTTTGTTCTAAGTATCTTAGGAATACAAGATGAACAACATTTGTTTTATCGAATTATCAATTAATGCTTGTCAAGATATTTGAAATTTATCGTCACATAGAAGGTTTTGAAAATGTAATTTTAAAATTCTTGGTAAGTTTGTGATTATGATAGGATAGTACATTTTGTTTTCTCGCAACTTTCTACTACAATAAAAAGTCATAAATATTTTGAATAAGTTTTCATGTGGTCACTAGGGATGGCATTGGACGAGGCGGTTGTGGGGCAAACCTGTATAGACCCGCAAATATACTAACCCACCCCGTCCCGCATAAGGCAAAACCTGCCCTGCTCCAGTTCCGTCCTATTGTCATCCTTAGACTAGTCAAAAGCACCTTTAAAATTGTGAATAAGTTGAAGATGAGGATGATGAGTTGAAATCTTTCAAGTTTGGTAAAGAATCCACGTAAAAGTACTTTTTAACTTGAATAATTAATGTCATATGCATTGCCTCCGAGGAGAAGCCAATGTGCAGTACGTTTCGAGTTGGGACAAACTCAATAATTTTAGTTTAAATTTTTTGTATTAAGAAATTATTTTATATACATATATATTATTAATTTAAAATCCAGTAACAATAAAAGACTAAAAGAACTCAAATTCATAAACTTTAAATCTTGATTCCGTCTCTACGAATAGGTCCTTGATTTCTCAAAGTCTAAAAATGAAGAAAGTGATACTATTAGTAGTTGGCCATAACAACAACACCATATCAAGCGAAAAGGATAAAAATGTATTTTTACTTTGTCTACTACCTAAGTGTGACCCTAGTTATAATACATGTTTATAATTGGGTTTAAATTTGATTCAGGTTATTTAATTTAGTGGGTCAGGTCGAATTAAATTAAAAGAAAGAAATGCATTATTTAGGGAAATCAGATATTTTTGTGTTGATTTGAGGATTCCATCCAAACTTTTTCACTTCATATATATTATATAAATAAAAAACACTTTGGTTTACATTTTCAACAATATCACACTCCACCCTACAAATTAGATTACTGAATTATGTGAATAAAAACATAGCACACAACCAAACTTTTGTAAATTTAAAAGTAGCACAACATGAGGTGCTGCATACAACTTATTTATAACCAAAAAAAATTAGCAACAAAAGGTACAAGTGAACAGATTCCAGATATGTTTATATATTATGCCTCTGAATCCATAGCCAGAATTGTACTGAGATTCATTGGATTCATGTACTCCGTCGTACCGGACATGATTTGTTGTACAATGATCTTATTTGCCTTTTCAGATGGATGGAACGGATCCCAAAATGCGTAAACATCTCTATTAGGGCACAAATTAGAGAGCGGTGTACATAGACCAAGACCGTTATATGGTCCTTGTCCACAACATGCTACCTTTGATGTTATAAATCCTGTCAAAGAATAGAATCAATTGTCAATATTAATAACACTAACCATAGGCCAGAGCCCAGAGCCAGGAGACTGAACCCCTTAGTAAAAATCCTGACTCTGCCACTGAACCTGAACAGGACATGTAAATTTAAATGTTGCATTGATTTTACCATATGCTTGTGGATTAGTAATGAAGTTAGTGTGCATTTGTTGCGTATTTGCAGCAATAAAAACATTGCTGCCTAGTTCTCTGTTTAACCCCTGCAGCATTTGCATAAGCTGTGGGTTAAACAGGGCTGCAGCTTGTTGCAACTCGGGTGAACATTCCCCGTTCCTGCTACGTTGAGCTAGTTCTGCTGGGACACAACCTAATGGTCCAGTTCCAGTCACAATTACACGACGACCTCCAAGATTATACACAGTCTGAAGTAACATCATGAAAAGGTATATTAGTTTCTATAATAATAAAACTTATCTATATTTTTGGTAGGTATTATTATCTACCAATACAAAAGTACATAACTTCAATATGCATTCAATTACTTCAACTACATTAATCTTATCTGAATCTTTCTACTGATATGTCATTTTTTTTTTAAAAACAGCTAGCAATTGACAACCAATTATGTTGGTGAAAAACTTACTTTGTTATAAATGTTATGTTAAATGAAGGTCATGTTACAAAGCTAAACCAAAAGGGGAAATCTCTGAAATTATTCCTAACAAATCGTGTCACACATAGAAATTCAATACGTACCATCAAGATTTTACGATATTCTCTTATCAAAAAAGGGACATAATCTGGAATAGAAAATTGGCGCGATCGCGCAGAATTGGGCACAAGGAAATAGTTGTTGACAAAATCATTGCCTCCAAGAGTCATAAGAACAAGAGCTTGATTTACAAGTCTTTGAGTACTTGCTTCACCAATTAGTCCACTCACTCTACGTTGATATTGTCTAAAATAATCCAATTGTTGTGGCATTCGAATAATATTAATCTGCATATATATATTATCATTAGTCAAACAAATTAACATGTTAAATGTTGAAAATAATTTGAATTTAGACTAAAGTTTTGTATGTACAAATTGGACTCCAGTGTCATTTAGAATTCCAATTCCAGCAGATGCAAAGTTAGCACCAACAAGAAGTCTTTGTCCAGTAAGAGCTGGACTTAAGTAAGGTAGTGGTGATTCTGATGAACCAATTTGTTGACCTGAAAAAAAGTAAAATAATCGAAGTTGATCAACTCTATCTATTACGAGTTTAACTTATATATATTGACAATGTAAAAAAAAACAAAAAACTATACTAGTACTAGGTCAACCTTGAAGAAGGATTTACCTTGTGTACATTTCTAGTGAAAAAAATTGGTATGCTATCAATGTACTTAAAAATATTGCTTATAACAAGTAACTTGTCTTATTTTGACGTTAATTTTAGTCCTACTTTTTGTGGACGGTTAGTGCTAGTATTTTTAAATTATCTTATAGTGAAAAAAATCTTTATATTATCGATGTATATAGAAGTTAAAACTTATAAAAGAAAATTATAGGTAGTTGTCTTATAAATTAAAGTAGGATAAGTAATCTGAAAAATAAGACAGGTTATCATCTACAATAGGTTAGAATTATAATGTTAGTGTTCATAAGTAAGTTCCTTTCATAAAAGAGGCAAAAACACATGTAATTAGATGCTAGTGTACAAAACAGTTTGATGCACAAAGTATTTCACGTTCATGTAGTGTACAAAAAAAGGATCGCACCCTAAGAGGATGTAATGTAGGTCGTCTATCCTAGCGCAAGCATTGATAACCGATTTCACAGCTCGAACTCGTGACTTACAGAGACAACTCTACAATTTCTCCACAATTCTCCAAATGTCAATGGTGTATCCGAGATTTAAACTTTCTATGAATTCAAACTTTAAAGTTCTTAGCATTAACTTATTATATTCTTAAGGGGAAAAGATTCATATCTACTATTTGTTATAGTTTTAATAAATTAACACATAATTCACACTCCGCATCGAAAATACTAGGTTCATGTGAACCCGACATAGTGTACATAGCATGTATCTCGCATTCATACAAAATCTAGAAAAGAACCACCACTACTTTATGATAAAAATGTGACTTAGTCACCCTATCCTATTCTGATGCAAGTATCAGTAACCTCGTGACCTATAAGTCATACGAAGAAAACGTCATATAAAAAAACATTTAAAAAAAAGAGCAAAATGGACTCAACTGATAATGTCAGGAATGTTGTAGCCATTAGAGAAACGACCAGTTGCTCTACGTGTTGGATAATCAATACCATAAGGTGGTGAATCTGCCCTTGCAGTAGTAGCCAAATAATTATTATTTCCACTATCAACAAGTGAATCACCAAACACAAAAAATGCCCTAGCTTCACTTTGGGAAATACCCACTCCAATAATCAACAAAAGGCTCAAAATAATTGAAAAACTAGGTGTTGCCATTTTGGCAAAAGTGTTGTTACAAAAATATTGTAACTTGTTTGTATGTGCACTTACTAGTAAAGCAATTAGACATGTATATATATAATAAAATAAAATGTAAAGAGAGTTATAACTTTTGAGAGGTGAATTAAATGGACCAAGTTGGCACAGTTGGAAAAGAAAGAAAAAATTTGGACCACAAATTAACTAAAAATGAAAGAGCAAAGATTATTGTGGTAGTTTGTGGTATTTAATATGGACTGTTGAAGTCTCTTTGGGTATAGTATTGTGTATTTATTTCTAATCATAAGACAAAAAAAAAACTATTCTTTTTTCAAGCCTAACAAAAGCCTTTTACATTTTATACTCCATGATATTCAAATTAGTATTGATTTGTATACACTTCTTAAGAAAAATATTTAATAATTTCAATTGTTAAAGTATGTCTAAAAATAATTTTATCTTTTTGTAGACAGACGAATCAACTAATACTCTTCTAATTGGAACAATAAGGGTAGATCTTGTTCGGTGTGCAAAGAAAATTTCATATTGATATCTGAAAAGAGAAAGAAGATACATATAAGGTGTAGTTGATGATATTCTTAATGTTATGAGGTCTTTTAGAGAAAATTATGCGGGTTTGGTCTAAAGTGAATTATATTACAATAAATTAAGAGTATTTTTGGATTGTTTTAGCCCAACAGTTGATATTTGAGTCAATAATTTAGTGGGACGAGTATATATGAATGTGATGGAGTGATGGCATGGGGCCTGATTTGTTGTCTTTACCTGTCTATTAGTTGATTTACTATCTTTATACGTAGCTTTGGAGACTCATACAAAAATGTAGTGAACCTTGGTGGCCATAAGCAGTTAGGTACCATACAATTAATCTAAAAATAAGCTCACGAGGTGATAGCTAGTGTAAGACTTAGTTAAGGGGGAGATTATTAGGTATGCGCTTTATTAATAGCCGAAGGAAAATATTTTCTTGAAAAATAAGTAATTTGCTTACTTATTATCTGATGGTAAGTAAGTAAGCAAAAGATATTGCCTCAAATATATTAATATAAAATCCAGGCAAACACAATAAGGGGGTAGGAGTGGGTTGGTGGGTGGTGGGGGCTATTGGAGGGGGGTTGGGTGTGTGGTATGAGGGAGGAATGAAATGTTAGTCATAAAACTTTTTCTCTCTACTTCAATGAGGGAAACGATCACTTTCCTCATTTCTAAGGATCTTATTTTTCTAGATATTTTTTTTTAATTTCGATCATTCAAACATGAAAAAAAAAAAATTCCTTCATATCAAACAAAATCAAAACGTGTAGTTGATACTCTCAATAGTGTGAAACTTTTGAAAAAACTGCACATATATGGTCTAAAGTAAATAACTGAATGCACACTATATTAAGAGTATCTTTGAATTGAGTCCAACAAATCTTTGTGTAATTCTAAACTAAGGAGTAAATAACATTTTTCTTAGGAAAACTTAAATATTTGACTAATATTTTTGACAAAATACCAACAACAAAAACAATAGGTCATTGATTATGTTGTTTGAACACATTTTAGCTACAACAAAACATAGCTATATGCCTTTTATTAATGTAGTGGAGGGTAGTTCAAATGTACTTGAGGCCTAGTGGAGAAGACAACATCCATGTGATCAAAATAAATATTGCCAACGAATATATCAACTACAACTTATTAAAGTTTACATAAAAATAGAAAGTAAATCAAATAGTGTAATTGTGTTGTTGTACAAATTATATATAAAACAAACTAGGGTTTAACTCCATAGTCAAATAGAGGGTTGTAGCTACTTTGACTACTACATTAGTAGACTATACTTAAACACACACCCCAACCCCCACCCAAAAGAAAAAATTAAAGAAAAAAAAACTTAGTATAAGTCTTCTTTTTTGTTAATTGGAAGAGATTGATTAAATAAAGGAAAAATAATATTTTTGGTTTGTGAGTCATTTGTATATTCTTATTTTAGTCCTTATAATATATGATTCGGTATAGACTTACGAGTTATGGATAATTGGCTTAGGGCGTATCAATAAGGATGATGGTGGATTGGTAGTACTTCTTTTTTGATCAAAGTTTTTGTCTCTGTTAATATGAACTTTTCAGTGCAAATTTAAATTTAATCAGATTTCATGGTGGGAAAAGAATTGACTTAGGACATAATATTAAAGCTTCTAACCTTGATTTTAGTCACATGCTTGACATAGGAAAGTGATGTATACCTCGAGACGGATTAAGAACTTAAAACTTTGGAAAAAATGTCTGAAATATATCCGAACTTTGACCGAAATTGTTGTAACAATACCAAACTTTGGAAAGGACCTTTTACCCCCTGCACTATTTAATAGTGTATTTTAAATGTATATATGTGTCCACGTAGACATCAGAAATATTGCATCATTATAAATAGTAATGTGTC